GCAAATAAGTCATGCTAATGAGTTATGCTAATGAGCTCCTGTACCTCTTTTTCTATGAAATTACCCCTGAGTTCAACTATCCTGTTGCAGTTAGTGTGGTTGCAAACTGGTAAAAATATGGATTTTCTTTCCCATTTCAGTGTTTATTTTCTGTATCTTTTAAATAAAATATAAAGGGTTGGGAATGTGATAACTGCTCTGGAGCTCAACTGATAATTCTTTGTGGAAAATCATGTTGAGCCTGTTAGGGCACATTGGTAGTCAATTCTTGACATAGCCTTCTTACAATTGTAAATATTTCTGTGTGTTTGCTTTTGCGTTCTTTTTGCTGATTGTTTTCCAGAGTCTGTGTAATAAATGAATTCTGTACCATGGAATTCCGTGCCATTCCAAGAAAAGCGGAACTCTACAACAGTCATAGATTGTGATTTAGGCAAATTAGCATGAATTGTTTTGTATAAACTATTCTGCATGCTTTAGTGTTTTGCATAAGATTAGTTTTATAATATAGAGAGGAAACTCCCTGTTCTCTGAATGCATTGTCAACTCTCTTCTGTCTCTCACATGACAGTAAATAACAGGAAGGTATGTCATTCTCTCCCTTTCCATTCCTTTGTCTCACCAGTGGTAGGGATATGCACTCAGATATATCCAGTCCAAATATATACCTGAAAAATACCCTTTAATTTTTATATATATGTAGCTGGGACAGTATTCAAGATTTTTGGGAATACAGGCATTCACATTCCATATTTGTGGAAATATTTGGGAATATCTGGGGCTGGTATCTAGGCCTGTTTCCTTCCTTTTAACAGGTTTCCTGGGCAGTGGTACGAAGGGGGGATGGAGGCATCTTTCCTGGCCTGGGGAAGGCAGCTCCTGGCCATCACTAGTCTCACCTGGCTCGGGAAAGGGGGCTCCCAGCCCAGGTGAGCAAAGCTGGGGTCTGGCTGGCTCCTTCTCCTTCCCTCATTCTCTGTCTTCTTTGTTAGGGCAGGGCCTTTCCAAGGCTGTTTTTTCCTTCCAGTCCATGCCCCTGCTATTAGGATGGCTGGGGGCACCTTGTTCAGGGGCCTGTAGAATTGGAACCCTTGGTCCAATTTGTTTGAAACTTGAGGGTCTTTAGTGGACAGGCTAAATTTTGGTGTCATTTGGTTCCAAAAGAGCCACTCCAATGCCCCCCTCCCAAAAGCTCCCCATAAAGAATAATGGAACCTGAATAATTCTGGAATCCCAGAAAAATCAAAACCTAAATCCTGAAACAGTATTGGAGGACCCAAATACCGATAATTATGTCCTTCCTGAAATCTGAATCCGAAAACGGTTCTGTCTGAAATTACAAAAAACTGTTAGCAATCGGCTGCTAAAATGGATTACAAAGGAGCCAAAGTGTATTGTTTGTTTATTGCTCTATGGACTTAGCTGATTTCTTCCTTAAGGCTTACAATTGTTGCATATATGCCATGTAACAACTTTTGTTCTTAACCTTCCTTTAGGGGAGCATCAGTTTATTCTTCTCACTGCTGTTTTCCCCCTGAGCAATAATACCCAAATAGTAGACGAGGACCCATAGAGTGGGCCTTGAAAGCAATGCAATGCTTGTTCAGGGGCACAATGCATCACAAGGACTCACATTTCAAACTAAGCTCTCTCTTCTTAGATCAAAATAAAGATTTCTGTGACAGTCTGCAGTTTTAAAAGCTTAGAAGTGCTGTACAAACAGGTAAAGTACTGTGAAGAGTTAATCTCTACAGAAACAGAGAGTCTTAGTGACATGCTGCTAAAAGCAATATGAATAGTTAGCATCAGCTGAGCAGAGAAAGACTTGAGAGCTGCATGCTGAGGAGAATAGTTCATTTGGAATTCAGCCCTGACTGAAAGCAGTTTAACACAGACAGGAGAACTGGGGAAAGCTGGCAAGGACGAGTGGGTAGTTAGACAAGAGACTTCCATTCAGGCCAAGGAAAAGATCTAGAGAGAGACGGAATTTCCCTACTCATTCTAAACAGGGTGATAGCTCTGAAGAGTGCAGAGATCCCTGGTTTGGTGTGGTTAGAAACTGCCTTTATAGACCTTAAGAGTCAGTTAAAAACTCAAGATGGGTACTGGTATTTCAAGAGAAGGGGTTTGGGTACTGGAAAGAATGTACCAGCCTTCTGGAAACCAAAAGAGTCAGAGAATACCCATAGAAAGTGTACTGAAGTGTTTGGGGGAAACACTGGAATAAAAGCCTCTCAACATAAAGATTCTTAAGCTCTGAATAGCTTAAGAAACTCTCATTAACCTGAAACATAAGACCTGAAGTCTGTAGATGAACTGATTTTACCTTAGAAATTTCAATCCCTGATTTCACCTGACCCTTCCCCTCTATGTTGAATAAAATATTTTGTTAATATGGAATATAAAAACGTCTTGAGTGTCATTAAAGTTAAATGGGGCTCCTCATTCTTCCCTCAGGTTCCTGGGCTGAGCAAACAGCCAAAATATTTTACTTTGATAGGGTGGGACAGCCCCAGTTCTTCAGGAAAGGAAAAAAAAACACATTACTAGGGTGGCTCAGTTGGGCAGGGAAGGAAAAAAAATGGAAGGAAAATCTTGCCTCTGAGGGGGAGGGAGGTGGATGGGGGCATCATAATTTCATTTGTAAGT